GAAAATATCCTCGGGTGAGGATTAACAAAAATAAAATAAAAAATTATCATAAACTTTAAATCAATCCTGTATTATATCGTTTGCTTCCTGAAACCTTAATCACATCAACATCATGTCTTCGAATCATAAGGAAGAAAGATGAAAAAGATTACGAAAGACATGGGTTTGTGTGGCTGATAATCTAATATTTTATAAGATAGTGCCAGGCTATTTTTTTGAAAGGGGATGTTAATTCATTTTCTTCTTACTGCTATAATAGTATTCTGTACTTGTCAGTACCAAACGTTAACCTCTTATATCTAGTAATACTAGATGTTTACATAGTTATGCCCCTAGTTTCTTTTGATTGGTATCTGCTTGATAAAACTTTTTGTATTCTATTACTTTGAATTTTTCTATATCCTTTAGTTTCTTTTGAGTCTTTTATAAACAGAATATACCTGAATTTTACTTCCTATTATGTTCCGCCACTTGGGCAGGCCCGAGCTTTGTTATCTGTCCCCTCCACTCTCAAAGACATAAAAACTGAAGCTTCAGATATCCTCAAGGTGAATGTTGATTTCAGCCTTCTGTTTACCCCTCCGGGTTCCTGCCTTCACTTCATTTCTCATCCATGAGTATTCCTTACTAACTTTGCAGGACATCAATGCATTAAAACAATTTCAAAATATACTTTATTCTACATTTTAAATCATTTTTAACAAGAAGGTCAGCCAGGGTACCTAGTCTAGCATATTCTCAAAAGCCATAATAATTTATTTTCCAATATGCAAATACCTAACACTTTTACATATGAGGCTCCTTAGTATGGAAATTTGTTTGCCGTATTGACTGCGTAGTATCGATTTCTGATAGATGAGATTGTGGGATGCCTAACACTGTACCATAATTAGGAAGCCAGCAGTGTAAACAGTCATTTAGTCAGAACTTAAGTCAGGAAAATTTCCAATATTCATAGAGAGAAATGGTTTAGAAAGTCTGAGAAATATAGATTTACTAACAAGATAGAAAAACATTTCTGTCTCAATCACTTCTGCAAACTTTACTTTGCAACTGTAACTTCAAGATCTTTTGCTAATTTGTTCTTTCCCTAAAAGTCCTCATCTTCTATCATGTTCCCAGATAAAGAAAAAAAAAAGTTCTCTGTTCTCAGTACATGACTCATTAATTCTCATTTTTAGGTATTTAAACATATGAATTTCCACACTTCAAAGTTCTTGCCTCCCTCTGTGGAATTATGCCATACTTCATTCTTTTAATACATTTCAGGTTCATGCTCCTGTAAGGACTACCCATGTAAACAATCTGGCATATCCCTTTAATCATCCAAACAATACCTCAGTCATAATTACAAATCTCATTTTAAAGTAAGCAGAGTAAATTGTCTTAAACAAAAAATACATTAAGGACATTGTGTTTTGAAACCTTATTCCCCTTTAAAATTATTTTCTAGTAAACTGAGTTTGAAAATTCTCACTCCTTTCTAATATGTTGAGTTTGAGTTGAGAAAAGGATGGATAGGACGTTTTAAAAATTCAAATATGGAAATAAGTGGGATGGGGGTGGGGGAACTTTTTCTAAAAAGAAATAATTGTCTCCATGGCATAAGGCTGTTGGCATGTAGACCCAAAGACTAAAAGCAGGAATCTTAAAAGGACAAATAGAACTGTTAGCATATAAGGGTAAACAGGCAATGATAAGGTCTGGTCTGAAAGAACTCTGCACTATCTGTGTCAACCTGACACAGTCCACAGGAGTCAACTCAGACTCAGGGGCTGAATTCGGGTCATTTAAGCAACAATGAATAAGTTGTTGGTTAATGAAAGAGGATGGAAAGCATTTAAAGGTTTATATTTGTTTATTTTTATTCTAAGTTGTGCCTTATCTCTATATAGATAGTAGTCATGATGCTACTGATCAAAGCACTGTTTTGATAGCTAGTGTGGCTCTGTTAGTTGGGTGTTGCCCTGGGCATCCACAGGTTGCCCGTTGCATGCAGGAGGCAGCCAATGTTTTGCTCTCACATAGATGTTTTTCTCTTCCTCTCCCTCTCCCCTCCTCTCTCTCTCTAGAAAGCAATTTTAAAATCTTTAAAAAATAATAAATTGTGTGTGTGTGTGTGTGTGTGTGTGTGTGTGTGTGTGTTCTATATTCCAGAAAAGCCATTACCAAATAGGAAAAACATATTCTTATTTCAGATAACTGTTTCTTTGGGAAGCCTAGCTGTTTGTATTTTAAGGCCAAGGGGAGTATACTGTTGGCTCCTATGTCTCACTTGAGGACCTAGAAAGAAACAACACCTGCTCTGTTGACCTTGCAAATCCAAATTTAAAAAGTGCTGTCTGAAAAACAGATCTCATAGGTTTTGTTTCACAATACATCTCTCCTTATCCAGTTGCCTTTTCTTCTACCATTTTATCATTACAGATTCATTCCTTTGGGCTGAGAATGTTAAAATATTAAATTACAATTTATTAATCATGCTTTAGTGTGAGTTAAAAAAATTTTGTTTTCTCTATTTGAGAAAAGGGCCTTAAAGGAGAGAGAAAAGACCCCGAGCTGGGGGAGAGGACTCGGGTGGGGCATAGATTCTGGAATGAGGGCAATACCTGGGTAGAAAGTTCTGGAGGGTAGTATCTGTCACTTATTCTAGGGTGTGCATACAGATGGCATTTGACAGATACTTGTTGACTGTGTGAAGCAGCATTTAGAAATGAGGGAGGAAAATAAAAAATGGGACCAGAATAACTCAGAGATAAGCCTACTTGGCAATTTTGCCTCAGGCTGGTCCTGCTAGAACGTGATTGTAGGCTCCTGTGGCATGTCTTATGCATTATGTGTATATCTCATGTGCTTGTCCTGACTGGCCCAATGCCTTGTAAGTGCCTTAAAAGCAAAACTTCAGCTCTTGTTTTGTTTTTTGTTCTCTTTGGTGCTCTGTACACCAAAGGCATGTCGCAAATGTTGCTGATTGACTGACAGCCTGTGCTGGCAGGTATCAGCCAGGGGGAGGGGAAAACATCTGAGTCAGCCCAGAAGCAGCCAAGAATCACAGTCAAGTGTAATTTTCTGCATAAATATTATAGGACTTTCTCATGCTCAAAAAACGGACAAAAACCTGAAGGACACATTTTATGGCAATGAACCTTAGACAGGCTCTATTTCAGGATAGATGTAAGAAATAAAGGGAAATGAAAACTGAATCAGTATCTTCAGGAGTGGAAATGTCAAGAATTCCAGCTAGATATC